TTTTATGTCCTGAAATGACCCATTCAAAACATAGGATGTGGCCTTTCCCAGAGTCTGGTGGGAATGAAAATCAGATCTGGAGCCAAGTCCAATGGTTTAACACATCTGTACTGGAAAGAGAATATTATACTTTTATGTTATAATCATTTGATATACTTGCATACTCTATACCCAAGAGTAAGCTCTCATGCTGTTTTATGCAACTGTAAACTTGGGATGAACTGTCTTAATGGGAACTCCCCGCATCTTGATCTTGATCCTGTCACACTACTTATTCCTTCTCACTTACATAATGCTTAGTTTCTTTTATATAAGCTGTTAGTAGGATACTCAAATTATCACCTGTATCCGTTTTATGTTTTTCTTTGCATTATCTGACCTTTAGAAAAATACCATTAAAATACATTTTAAGCTGTACATAAATGATTTTAAATGAATCGTTGACTAGATGTATGACATTTACATGCAGTGTGAGTTACTTATACATGTGAAAGAAGAGATTAGGAGAGCTTTTTTATCTCAGGTGTACAGCATCACATTTATGTTAAGTGTCCACCTGACATCAGTAGCCTTGTAAGACCTTTGACGTTTGATTTACAGGGTACAACAAAACTTCTTGCCCGTTGCTGTGCTTTTGCTGATTTTACTTTCATAAACTCTTGTTATCTTCTTGAGATACTTTTTTGTAAAGTTAGAGATGCACAGTGACACTGAATTCTACTCTCTCTCTGCGAGTCATTAGTTTCAACCTATTCGTGCGCCCATCTGGTTCCCTCTGAGGTTGCTGCCTTTGACTGAACCAAAGCTTTGCATTCACGCAATATGTAATTTGTGTAAATACATATATTGTTTACTTCTTAGTAACTAATCTGTCTGTAGTAACTAATCTGTCTGTAGCAACTAATCTGTCTCCCAGGAAGGGAGGTGGGGCAGCAACGGTGTTCTTGAAGACAGCAGCCTGGGAATGCTGATGGCTTAGAGCAGCAGCCTGATACCAATACTCCTGCTGGAAGTTCAGACCCTGAGCTGTAGGAATGAAAAGCAGGACTCCAGCCTCTGAGAGAAAGAGCAGCCCAGGAGCTAAGGCAAGCCAGGACAGAGTATTTCATGCTCATTCCCTGCAACCTCCTGTTGCATCTTCATGCCTGACTCGATTCCCTGTTTGGAACAAAGTCCTGTTCTCCTACATATCTGGTCAAACATGACACATCAGCAGCTGGCTGTAACCCAGCATGAGACTGAGGGTGTATGTGAGAAAGACAGAGGTAAAATACAGTAGGTGAAAGCCCTCCTCAACTGTTTTGGACCACTCCAACATCTTCCAAAGGGAGCAACGCTCCTGTTTACAAGTGAGACAGCAATCAACCTATTCCCGTCTTTGGGGCCTTCATCACCGAGGTGCTTACGAAAAACATACAGAATACAACATAGGAATTTTATATTTTTCTGTTTCTTCTGTGCTTGGCTTGGCAGATGTTCCTGTGTACCCATTCAGTCTGCTTCCATGCATCCTCTGTGGATGCTAATATGCAGCACATAGTCCTTGCAATCATGTTGGCTCCTACTTACAGGCTGCTCTCAGTTCTGCTCCCTTGCCTCAAAGCCATTCCCAAATGGGGGTACAGTGGTGTCAGGTATCTCTGAACAGAATGGGAAAATTTGTGCTTGGAGAAGTGTCTTTATTACAGCAAATCCTCTGCCGACTTTCTTTGGCTGATAACATTAGAGCTTGCTTTATTTGAGAAATATGTTCTGTCAAATTACTCGGTGTGCCTTCCCCTCTCCCCCCTCCCCCCAGAGCTTGCTCTTCTTTGCCAAAACAAGATGACTTACAATTCAGCCGGTCTGCATTTTTCCTGTATCTGATCATTAATTTTGCTAAAAGAAAGAAAAGTACAGGGAGTACCACTGACCATCAAAGGCAGTTTTTGTGTTTCATGGACTTAGCCAGTGGTTGATGTTTGTATGTCTTTGCTGCTTCAATTCAAGCAAATACTGGGGTTGAATTCGGCAAATTAACATGACAAAGTCAATGTCAAGACCCATTACAATAGAGAGAGAGAGAGTTCTTATTTGCAGGGTAATTTCTTAACAGCCTGGTTGCAGAGGAACACTTTTCCTTCTTGAATTGTGTGGGTCATGTTCATGAGGAAAACAACTCAGTGGTGATTAATTTGTTGATTTTTTTTTTACGCTGCTTTTTTTCCAAAAGAATTCCTAAGAAGGCAGCAGAGCTGTCGTTTATCCTGCTCCCATCACAATCTTCTAGCTTAATTTTTCAGAAGGCCTAGGTAAGCTGTTTTTCATTCCTGAAGTTTTGTTCAATGACTTCAGCTGAGGAAAACTGGCACCTGCCTAAAGCTGCACCTGGCAACTTCGAAGTTTTCTTTTTCTTTTCTTGGGAGTGTGATTACGCTGTCTGGAGGATCTCCCATCTGGCTCTCTGCAGCTTTCAGCTGGCTCCGAGGGCCACGTCCTGCTCCAGTTGTATCTGTGCAAGGTTTGTTACTGTAATTTCATTGTGCTCACCTGCATGTCAGAGAGTTGGGTCTTAAAGGCCTCGTTTAACCATGACATTTAAGTGGGTTCTTTCTCCTGACTGTGAGGACTGACGTGTCTGTTGACTCCTGCAGTTCTTCATCTGGCAAATAGCCTTGTAAAATCAGAGAAGCAGCACCTGTGCTTAAACTAAGTGACCAAAACAGGGCCCCTACCATCAATACAGGTGCCTTTGCAGGACCACTAACCTAATGCTAGTAATCTTCATTCTGTTACTGGAAATACCACATTTTGTTCTGAATGTGCATAGCTGAAGAGATTTTGGGGTATAACTGTTCTTGGAATAGCATCCAGAAGAAGCGTCTTTAGACAGAAGTCCCTAGTCTCTGTCCTTGGATCCACCCTGCCAGCACCTTGAGTTTTTGGCAGGTGAAAATCCTCAGTGTGTTGCAGGATCTGAATAATTGGCTGTATGCTACTTTGACACAGACCTATTGACCTCCCTTGGCTGTTTTCATGCTCCCTTTGCATTGTTCTGTGACTGTTAAAACCAAAGGTAAATGCTGGTGGTTTACAGTGCTGAGGCCCTGCTGCATGGGGACACCGGTGGGGAAGTTTGTCAGCGAGTTTTCAGAAAGGCTAAGGATGAGCCATCAGCTGTCTCTTCATGTAAGAAAAATCGTTCCAAGTTTGTTTTAGTTCCCCACTGCAGAGAATTAATTAGTTATAAAATTAAATACTTAAAATGGTTATTTTGTGGCTTATAAAATCTGAATAAAACCAAACAGGAATGATTCAATTGTTTATATAAAGGACTTCTTCCAGGAATATTTGATTGCTTAACTACAGTCCTCTCTATTTCCTACAACTGCTTAAGGAAAATAGACTCCTAGAATAGTAGTTTTAAATCCTCTTCACTGTCCCCTCCTTTTAATTTCTTTTTACTGTGTTGTTGTGCAGTCCCATGAATACAACACCGTAACAACATGTAACTGTCTTCTAAATACAGCTCTTCTGAGGAATGCCTTTTTCTCACAGTTAATATCTGGTTTTGTTGCTCCTTTGGCCCCTCCCTTTGGAGCTGTGAGGTTGTTCTGCCAGCTGTGGGTAAAACGAGTGTGTGTTTGTGTGTGAGCATGAGTGGGAATGCAGGGAGGGGGGTTGTCCTTTTAGGTACCGCTGTGTCAGTATAATGGGTGTTTTGTTATGGGTTAAATTGATAAAATAAATATCTCCTGTTTGATAACAAATACTGCCGTGGTTTTTAAACTTTATACTGCAACTTAAGGCACTGTGTTTTGGTAATAAAAAAAATTGTATTTCTAGTGATAACATTTTAATTCACTTCAAAGTGCTGTGGATTCCAATTCTGTACTGTTAGGTTTTAATAAGATGACATGACTTTTCTCTTCAATGGCAATTACTCTGTTTTATTGTTCAGTATTGATTTACATTTTAAAACAAACTGAACACAAGAGTTTTGAACAAGAAAAAAATAGCAAGTAGACTGAAATATTTTTTAATTATCTTTTTTAAGCAGGCAACTTTTTGGAAGGTTATATTCTGTAGTCTCCAAAATGTTTAAGTTCTTGTCATGTGAATTCATGTGAGAGAAGGATGACAGAGAACTCAAGTGCCTCATTCTATAGTGTGAAATGAAGTTTGTGGGTGGACTTTTCACAGAGCTGCATTATGCTTTGTCTCCATGTGACACGCTGGTTAAATGGACAGGACAAGCCTTTGTAGTTTTGCAATGTCCCATTGTTGTTTAGCACATAAGAAGAAGGCAGGGCTGGTGCAGCTGTTCATAAGTGGTGATTGGAAAACCTTGTTCAGGGCAAGACAGAAAATGCTATATCATAATTCTGAGTCTGAGTTTTGAAGATGCTTCTGACAATGTGAAACACTCCCTTTCCTTAAAAACATGATTACCTCTAATCCTTGTTGTGTGATGCTGCAGATGGAGTCAGTACTGAGCGTCTATTAGCAATTCAGATACACACAGGGCTGAGGTTGAAGTTTTGATCTTTTATGCTCTCCAAGGATCTCTGAAGAGTATTTTTGGCCTGGGGGTTTTACACAGCCCTATTTTGTGAGAAATGCTGAGCTCCCATTTCTTTTCTTTCTGCTTTGCTGAGGGTGGGGTTCTGAAAGCCGCTGCCGAAAACTTCAGTTGTAGCCTGTCTTTTTGAAGTAGCTGCATTTTAAATACTTAGTGAGCTTCAAGTATTCTAATTTCCCCTGTAATAACAAGGACCTTCCTCTAACGGCAGACAGAGGAGACTCACTAACAACACTTTTCACGCTCACTCCCCAACTCATGTGGAATCTCATACCCCAGGGTACCAGACCTGTTCTTCGCTGCTGACCTGGACACTAACCTTTTACTTTAGGAAGGAAGGGAAGGTTTGGCCTGAACTGAGAGTTGAGAATGTTTGCTAGAAGGCAAACATACACTGTTTGCAGTGTATGATCCAATAACTAGATGTCATCTGTTACAGCTGCCACCTTGCATCAGAGGCTCCTGGGAGGTTTTGCTGTTTGTAGAGTCCCAAACAGCTGGTGCCATGCAGGGAGAGCAAGCTGAAGGGTCAAGAGGATGTCAGGTATGTGCTCACCTGAGGGGTTTCAGATGTTGTGGAAAAGTCATATAAAAATGCTAGGATTCATCTGACGCCGTCTCATATTCCTTGCCCAGGCTGTGGACTGGGAGAACACCACTTTGTGGCATTTCAACCTTGATCTGGTGAAGTTGAGATCTGGCAGGTCTGTGCTGGTGATTTGGAAATTCAGATTTTCTGTACACTGAGACCTGTTTTCTGGATACTTGCAGGTTTTATCATGGTCACTGAAATTCAATACACGAGGACAGATCTGTCCTTGCTCTTGGTTTAGGTGCTTGATTTAGGAAGCAGCTATCACGGAACAAGCTGAAAATACCAGCTGGCATGTTGGTGAAGGCAATACGTCACACATGCATTTCTTCTGCTGGATGTGTACAAATATGGGACTCACGAGATGACACACTCAGTTCAGTGGCTGCCATATAAAAGATTAAAGCTTGGAGCAGTTCGTTTGATTAATTCCAGTGTAGCAGAGCCCCTTGCTAGTATGTGACCAGAGGCACAGAGACAAAGGAGGGTCTTCAGAACGTGTTAACTGCAGGGGGGCGGGGGCGGCTTTCCCAAAGGTCACAGAACGGGGTCCATCCCGGCTCCGTGGGGAAGTGATCTCCCTGCAAGAGACAGCAAACGCTGCTTTTGCATACACCAGGCTCTTATTTGCTCATGATGTGACAGCACGAAAGACAATCAAAATTAGTTCATATATTAATTCTTTCCCCCCCCCTTTCTTGATGAGTCATTGTAATTACTGAAAACTAGCATGTTTTCCAACATTAACATATTGCATGGGCTATCAATATTCTAATGGACTCTTTCACATTCAGAATGTGGAAGAGGGTTGCTTGAAGATAATTTCCTGTATTTAATTAAGAGGCTTACATGTACATGGTACTTTTCAGAAACGTGAAATGGCTAATCTCAGAAAGGGTATTGTCAGGGTGCATAGTATGAAATTATCTATTGCACCGTCTTCCCATATCGGTATTTTCCATTAATGAAAATCTTAAAAAGCAACAGAAAAAAAACCATATCATGAAATGATTATTCAATAATTTTACCAGTGAATGTTCTCACATCTGGGTATTTTGGGTTTCTTCTTACAATCAGAAAATACTGCCTACAAAAACTCTGTTGGTCCTTTTATATTTGCACAGGGTCACCTGGAATGATCTCAGCATTTCCACATGAGCAGTAGAGAGCTGCTATTTCTAGTGTCAGACTTGCTTTCTGGTCCAACAGGTATGGGAGTACATGCTGAGGTTCTATTACCGTGAATTGTATATTTATAATCTTTAAAGCACCTCTTTTCAGAAGCAAATTAAACTCCTTGGACAGGATTTGAAGTGTTATTGAGTTTCCTAAAATGCAGATAATCTCTAGCTGGGACTTTTAGAATATAAATTAGGACTCCTAGAAACTTCTGAGAGTCCAGGCTGGTACGTATTTGCATCTTTAGGCCAAATGTGGCCTCACTTCTTGAGGGTGGGATTTAGGAAATGCTATCATTTGGAGATGTGTCTGAAAGCATGCAAATATTTTGCTGAATAAGACCAGACTTTAGAACTGTGTGTTTCAATGTTTTGTGTCATTTGGCTGACAGACCACGCTTTGAATTCTGCGAGATGTGTGTGGCTGGCTGAATTTCAGTACTGTGTTTCCTGAATGTGCAGGCTTTGTGCAGAGAATGGTGGACTTCACTGCTGGCATCAGTGTAAGAAAGGAAGGTTTTCTTAGAAGCTGCCTGATGTGTTACCCAAAGTCCCTTAAGGTAACCACTTTGCTGGTGAGCCTGGGCTTGCAAGCAGCTTTAAACTCTCTGTTTTTATCATTCCTAAACTCTCTGAGATAATCTCTCAGATTAGAATGTAAAGACCTATATAAATCTGTCTTTGTGGGCATCCTTCCTCCTTGCTGAAAAATAAAATAATCTCATTAACATATTTAATAGAAAAATTAGTCCATCTTTGCTTTTCTTTCCACCTATTTCCTTCTCAGTGCTGAGAAAAAAAATTAACCTTTTGATGACCAAGGTACTGGGTATGTTCACAGCTTGTACATGTAGTGGTTTTGGAGTTCTTGGCATTGCCAAGGACAAAAGATTTAAGATTATGAGCAACCTTAAGGCTCAGCTCCTGAGCAACAAGTTTCTCTGCAAAGCTGCTGTTGCAGTATCTTTAAACAAACTGAAATATTCTAACCCAATGTTGGGATTAGAGGTAAGCATTAAAATTCTCTGGTCACTCCCATTTTTATATAATTTGGCAATATTCAGGGCTGAATATATTGCAGTTGGAGCTTTGCAGCCAATGTTTTGTTGCAAATGTACTCATTGTTAGAAGACAACATAGATCTGGTTCAGAAGCACTTTGCATCCACTGAAATAACAATGTATCAGAATTAATTTTAGTGGTAAATCTTCAACACAAGAAGGTGGGCAGCTTGGTGGCTGAGACTTGTTCAGGAATGGTGCCTGCTTTTTGCATTTTTACAAAACAAACAACAAAACCTGTGTAGAGTAGAATAACAATCATAGTGGTAGAAAGATTCAACGAAAAGCCTGACATTCTTCTGGTGTGCAACAGCCCCCATAACAATGCACATTGTTCTACTGCAGCATGTCAGCCACCCAGGGGATTCAGATCAGCAGTGGGGAGATTCATGGTCCTGCAAGAAAATTTATAATGGTGACCAAAATGGAATGAAATCCAATTTCCCCCCTTTTTACATATTTTATCTTGAATTGTACCTTATGTGACAGGACTGCAATTAATATCTCTTGTAAAACAGAAGGCTCGTTAAATTGGCCTCATTATGGTTGCTGAGCTGGTGTGCTGCTGCTGAAAGGGATTCCCCCATTATCTGTGTTTGACACGTGCTCCTAATCAACCAGGCCAATTCTGCTCTATCAAAGGTCTGTCACACGAGGGGAGATAATATTTATTCTGACTTGTACTATTAGCGTAAAAAATGTAGGTTGTGTTGGCAGACACATAACCCTCTGTCACAACTGGTCACACAGAGCATTTATCGAGGTGTTCCCTTTCTGCAAAGGTGACCCCAAATATAGCCCACATCACCTTTCACTGTTGAGGACCCTGGTCGTTTTAGTTTTTTTAAAACCTCTGCTTTAAGGGAATATTTATGAAATGAAACCTCACAGCAAGAAGTGCTAAGGTGCAAGATTAATGTCAATTCTGCAATTTCCTCCACAATTTATTGATGAAAAAAAAAAATCCATCAGCCCTACATATCCAGCTTGCTTTGGAAGCTTGTTAGCAATAAATGTTCTCCTTTCTGAGAGATCTTAATATGTGTCACAATATAACCTCATTTGCTGAAAATTTTCTGAACACTTGGTTTTGTTTCATGATGATACTCAGTTTAGCTGGGACAGCAATTTCCACTGTTTAGAGAACTGTTCATAGAAAATGGATGAGGTTTAACAGAGGTGATACTGTTTCAGTCCATCGGGTTTAGCTACAATAATACCCTAATGCAAGGCTTAAGAACATCACCTGTAAAAGGTTTGCACAGATATTTTCGAACTGTTGCAGTGTTAACTGCTCAAAAGAAACGTTTGTAGCTGTAATGCAGCCTCATATGTTTGAGTGGGAAACCAACTGCCCCAAAACACAAGCCAAATGCTCTCTTATTTACATGTAAGAAATTTTGGATAACAAGCTAGATCCATACAAATGCTATATATCTATATATACACATATATATGTGTGTATAATCTATACAAATGCTACAGACATATTTTTAATTTTTCATCCTTTTCTTTATATGTATGCAGCATCTCTAACCAGAGGAGGATGCTTCCTTGTCTCCAGTACTACAAAGCAGTTTCTGATTTGAGGCAGAAGATGGGAACTGGGAGGAAGGGCAATTGACTGTGCTCATGCCAACTGTTGGGGTGATGCTGCAACACCCTGGCCTGGCCTGATTGCTGGAAAAATGACAGATAATTGAGGTGGAAGGGTGTTAACTATGCAAGTCCTTATTGGTTGTTTAAACTCTTTTGGTTTTTTTTTTTACATCAGTACAATTTTTCTTGGATTACCAGGAAACTGAGAGAGCACCGACCTGCATTTTGCAACAGAGCCCTTGTTACAGCAGTGCTGAACATTGGCAGATACTTCAGACTCTGCAGCCAGGAGAAAACAAGCATCCTTCCTCCCCAGAAAGTGTGGGAGTGTGCCTGTTGCAGAAGTTGCTGTCACATCAAGGAGAAAGGTGGGATGTTGTAGGGGTGCTGAGCCTGAATGACCTGAGTGAAAGCAGATACTGTCCTGCACATGCCTGGAAGAGGTTTTGCAGGAAGGTCCTTTTGAGCACAGCTTAGTGCCAGAGCCCTTGGCCTCCCCTTTCCTTTTGTCTTGGGGCTGATGGCTGAAATGCTGCTTGTCCAGGAATCGGATGATTTCCCAGTCACTATTCTGTTCCTGGAAAAGCTTTTTCTGCTAATGAGGGCCTTATGTTTATGATTTGCTTCGCTATGCAGAAAAGCTTCTACTGGGACTGTAATGCAGAAGACAACATTTGTCTCCTTCTCCAAGAGATGATCTGAGTCAGTGAGTTGATGCCAAGAGACTGGGCCTTTTATTTGCTGTTGGGAAGGGAACTCTCCTTTTTTCTTTCTTTCTTCCCTTTCCAAAGCGAAAAGCTCTGTAGTGTTTCTCTGGTCCCACACAGAATGACGAAGAAATAGCTGTATTTTACAAATGAAGAGACAGAACACCATACTAGGAAGACTTTGTTTTTAGGTACAGCGTACAGAATGTTGAAATATTTTAAATCAGTCAGCCACAACTTGGAAATTATTAATACATTTTTCAGTCAAACCACCCAAAACAGATGAAGCTTAAAGCAAAATGAGGTTTCTGATCATGTAGATAATAATCTTTCCTTTTTGCAGACTCATCTTCCATGAGCTCCTAGTATTGTGTGTACTTCCAGCACCATGTTGATGCATAATTAACGAGGTTAGTATAATGCCACATTTGTTTATTCATTCCTACTTCAGATTTATTAGATGAAATATCCTTAAAGTCAGCGTTGGAAAGCAGAAAGCATGGAGCTAGATTTTTGATGAATAATTTGTTGTGAAGCTGATGCTTTTGCAGATGTAGATCATCAGTTAAATAAACATGACTGCAGACAACAGATTGGTCCTGGTGGGGAAGTCTGTGCTCCCTGAACCTTTACCAGTCCCACTTGCAGGAAGTCCCTGCAGGCGCTGTGGTTCTGCTGCCCTGTCCATGCAATGAGCTGCCTGTCAGCTGCACCATGGCAGTCTGGGGTGGCAGAAAGTCCCCAGGCATTGCTGTGCTGGGAGCAGTCAAGGCCTGCACCTTAGCTTGGGGCGTTAACTGCTCCTGGCTCCAGCAGGGCTTGGAGCCAGACCTCTCTTTAGTTATTGACAGTTCTCAGAGAAGAGGACACCTATGTGAGCTGCAGTTTGCATGGGTTATCAGAGCACAGCTCTGCTTGTGCTTTCCAATTTCCATTCATTTTTGTTGCACAATGCCTTATGCACTTTGCAAGATGTGGCAGGAAGGATGCAGAAACACGTGTCCGTGTTTCCTGCAGTAAGTCCATCTTTCCCACTGTAATGGACTGAGGTCTCAAAGGGAAAGTCCAAGAGTTGATAATGGCAGGGAATAACTCAGTTAACAGGACTGAGTGGGAAAACATTGAGAAAGTTGCAATTCCAGGCATGGTCTGATGCAAGAGGTTGATGTTCTGTAGCAATTTTTGAACATAATTAGCAAACAACCGTGGCCAAATTCTTTCCTCTGAGTCTTCCTAATTCGGAGGAAAAAATGGAAAGAAAAATCTTGCACATGCAGAACTCAGAAATGTGCATTATTTCAAAACAGTGGACTAAAAATACAGTTTGAAGTGTTTGGAGCAAAGATAACCCTTTAAAAAGTCTTTCATTTAGAGATCTGGCAAACTGGAGAAACAGAAGTGAAGATCTCGGCTTGCACTGAGAGCTGATTCCTCAAGGTCAGTGACACTGGAGTCAGTTTTAGCTGATTGTGGAGGACTTAAAATTTTTTAGTAATTGCACAGAGACATCTCAATATATTGTCCAAAGAATTTAATGAAACCAAACTTAAGTTTTTTATTTGAAAATTCTGAGGCAAAGTATTTATGTTGTGAATGTTAGACTGTAGGAGTCAGGCTGGCATTTTGCCAGAAAATGTGATTTTTTGGGGAATTTTGTGGAAATTTTAAGAGAATATAAATAGAAGCTGTCTAGCAAAAGGTATGAAATCCAATGTTTCTGTATACTGTAATATAGTTAATTAAGAAATACTAGAGTTGTGAACAATTGAACAATGCAGGGAGCGGAAGAGGAACTCCTGTTCATCCTTTAATCCTCTGTAATTCCCTTCTGATCAACTTAAGTATTACAATGACTGATTTCTAACTGCATCCAACCAAAAATAAAATTGTTTCTTTTTACTCTTTAAATTTTAAACCTGGCGTAGATTTTTGGAGAGGAATGTCTTTATGGAAATTGGCTGTGCCAATGGACTTGGAGTTTTCAAAGGAAAGAATTTAAAGAAGTTAGACTCCAATTCAGCACCTTATCTAAATATTCCCCATAGGTAGCTATGTACTCAGCTGACTAGCTGCTAAATTGAAAGCCCTCCTGGAACCATTATCCTTACACTTTACTATCACAAAGGCCTTCTGTTTTAATTCCTTATATGTAAGGAAAACCAGAATGGGTTCCAGTGTGAATAGGACAAGAAAATGGGATGCACATGTGTGAGAAGTTTAACATATGTGTAAGTGCTCAAAGTACTGCAGCCTGTACTAATAAAAATTACAGATTTTTATTACAATTTTCAATTACTTTTCACTCAAAACAGTTATTGAATGGCTTTTTATTTTTATTTAGAAATATATTTTATTTTAGAGTTTATACAGTATTTCAGGCTGCACAAAACATACAGTTCTTACTTGCACAGCAAATAGAACACGTCATTATGCTGGAAAACTGCTGTGTCTGCCTGAGTCTTCTCCCAGTTTCTCTCAGTTATTACAGACATCTTGAAACACCTTCCTTTTATACACTTATGCCTACCTTGCATCCATATTTTCTATCCTCCAGATCATACCATATTAAAACAGCGTGAAAGTGAAAAGTGATCGTGGCAATGAATCAAAGTTATTTCAGGAGTAACCTGATTTTTACTTTTCTATTAGAAAGTAGTATTTTTATAATAAACTAATTTTTTTTGGCGGTCATTACTCATCAAAAAGGATTTTTGCGTATCTCCAAAGGGGTGGCTCAGTGGTTTTTTATTGCCTCTAAGCCTAAACTTCAGCAAGTGTGTGATCAAGTATACTGGAAAAATCCTTTGTCCGTTGCTAAAACCTTATGAAATTGTAGATCAAAAGAATTTTCCTATCTTGCAAGGACTGTGGTACTATTCATGGGCTAAAAATGACTGTCAGAGTAATAAAACAACTACTGTTGTCAGGGAAAGATTAAAAGCAGCAGCTGGATTGTACACAGTCAACTTGAAAATCTTTCTCTAGGAAGGTAGATGCTTTAGAAAATGATCTGGCTTTTCAGTTGATTTGCCATGATTGGCAGCCCCATAAAATGGCTACTGACACAGGAACTTACAAAAGAAAGAAGCCTTTTTTTCCCTATAAAAGAGCATATTCTGCTGCTTGCCTTTTCCCAAATTGGACTCTGCACTTGGAAGTGAGATGTAATGCAAGTGTCATGGCGATGATGGGTGCCAGCCTTTTCCTCTGTTTTAGCCAATTTACCTATCCTTGTTTTTTCTGAAGTCATTCCTGCTGTCAGCTTTCTGCAGCTTGTGTTTTAACCTATGCTCATTTTACCATTTTAGTTGTGTTCCTTGAGTTCATCTGTACGTTTTGCAATTCTCCTTGAATTCAGGATATTGCCACATCAGTTTCCATGTAATTTTTCCAAGATGATAATCAGATGGAACAGTACCAAATACACCTAACCTCCATTCAGGTTCTACCTTTATCCCAGTATAAAGGAGTGAATATTTTTAATTGTCTCCATACTTATAGACATCCTATTCCTCAAATTAGCATGTGTGCAACGTTTGAAACTTTATTTATGCAAGGTCAGCGTAATAATTTCTTTAATTAATTCCTTCCATTCCATTTAATTATCTTTCTTATTTATAGTCATCCAGACTTTCTCGTTCTACTGAATGAAGCAGAGTATCTTTCTCTCTGTATGACAAGATTTGGCCATCTGCCTTCCACTTGTTGGTGATTTTTCCTAGACTGTATTTCTCTTTGGGGTTTTCTTTCCTGATACTTTTTTGATTTATATTTATTTATTAACATCTTGCCTCAAATATTTCTCACTACCTAACTTGCTCACTTGGAGAATAGTTTATCTTTCTTTTATCCTGACAGCACCACTGGAAGTTAACTATGATTTGCCAGCCCTTTTCTCCCTGGCTTTTGATTCCAGCCTTCCTTGTACTGTAACTTTGGGCTCCACGTTCCCCTATGGGCACGGCTGCCCCTCCCCTCATGTCCACTTGGCCAGATTATCAAATATAAGACCTGTTTGTCTGTGCTGTTTTCCCTTAGGGTTATGTGCAATGGAATTGTGAGTAAACAACTTTGTTTCACTATGTCTCATTTTCTGGGCACTGGTCTTAAACCCACGTATATGCTTGGCTTTGTGGGTCTAAAAATGCATGTGGGTTGCCTAATTTGTCCCATCTCAGATTCAGTGGGGTGCACTGTCTTCTTGCCATTCAGATGCTGGGCTTGGGACACACTGCCCACAGCTCTAGGTAATATCAGCAGTGTTCCTCCTTTCTGTGCTGATCATGGAAAACTTCCACCACGAGCCAAAACCCACTGTCCCTTCTGATCTCTCTTCAGTGCCCTGCATGAGAAACACAAGCTCCTACTGTAGGTGATGGCTGAACCGATTCAGAAAGAATGGTGTTCAGGAGAGCTGCTGAACAGGAGAAGCGCTGGATGCAGCCACTGGCACATGGGCAGGCACTGTGGTCCACCCCCTGGGCACCTACCCTGCCTAAAACTCCTTTACCCAAACCCCTAAGTGCAAGGGTCTGAATGCCTTTAGCTTCTTCTTGGGCTCAGGCTCTAACAAACAGCAGCACCAAACCTCACTCTCGCTGACCGTGGACCTCGGAAAAGAAAAGAACAATGCCTGACGTTTTTCTCAGATCTTTCTGAAGGAGAAATACAGATAAAAGCAAAGCTCTTTGTGACTGATTTTTTTTCACTATCTACTTGAAAGGCAGTGGGTCAGAATTAAGGCATTTTTGCTGCGGAGGAAATGTGTGGGATGTTGGCTGCAAGCCAGTAGCCACTAACATCCCTGCTGCACTAGGAATACTTGAATGAAGTGGGCGTCAACCTCGGGAGAGCGGGCAGCACTACCTACATCAGAGGAAAACCTCCTCATTGAGATTCAAGGAGTAAAAATATTGAATGGAGATAAACCGGTCTGGTAGATTTTTCTGTGGGGGACACTGAAAATTCAAGAATCATCATCCAGTCTGGAAGATCGTCCTCTAAGCTCCTGTGCCTGTCAGGTCCCATTCATTCTACTGGAGGAGAGATCCATACACTTCCTGGCTTTTCTGACAGTTTTAAAGTTTCATCTTCCAGTTCTGTTTTCTCAACACAAAGAATGATGAAATAACATCCGGAGCTTTCAGGCAATAGTCCATGCTACAGTCAGTCTTCTAGTTTTTTTTTTCCCAAAACCAGAATGAAGATCTGAAGTGTGAAATGTTTCTTTAAAATATAATTTAGCCAAACACTCATCCTGCTTATGTCCAGCTGCATATCCCCTGGGAAAAATAGAAGTGATTTCTAGAGTTTCTTTGTATCACTAAATTATGAATCTGAAAGGTCAAACAGAATACTCTGTGTTGTCTTTCTTGTTGTTATCTGCCCTTTCACTGAGTTAGTCACCAGTTCTATCCAGTCTAAATATAAGCACATTTTTCTTGAATCAAGTCCATCATCCCATCTTATCTGTGACATCATTGAATTATTAGAAACTAGTACATTCTTTTTTTTTTTTTAAAGAGGGGAAATGGCAATGATGGAAAAACAGAAAGGAAATGTTTTGGCTAAGTGTTGGCACTGGACAAAAGAGGCCATATCAAGGCAGAATGGCTAGAATAGAGCATCACAAGTACTTTAAAATGCTCTTGTCCTTGCAGGAAAAATAAAGAGATCCTGGACAAGTGACAAAATTACTTCAGTGTAAATCTAAATGTTTATATGGTAGTAATGATTTAGATTATGGGTAGTTGTACATGTTGGCTCAAACATGTCTGGTCTAACAACACTGAGGTTACAGAAAGATGGGGGATCCAAAATGACAGCTGGCTAACATGGAAGGGAAAAAAAAAAGTGAATTTGAGTAGGATTTGGGAAAAAGTAGACCTGTGAACTGGAGCAGGTCTACCAAAGCAAGGTAATTATTTGCTTTGGTTTTATAATGGATAATAGCTTTGTGTTGACAATTTGCCTTTCAAATTCTGTTTTTGGGAATGACCTGTAACAATGTGTTTGTGGACAATTGGTTTGCAGTGTCCTACCCCCTGGACAGCTTTAGTGCCTTGGGGCTGCACAGTTCCCGTGGCTGGGAAACCAAAAATCACCAACCAACTGACAGAGCAGGTCTGGGGTGGTTGATGGGTAGTTTTTGATATGAATCAAGCATGAAAGATCAGGGAGAGAAATGTACTTGCTGGAGCAAAACTAACTGTTGGTCTTCTAGTGAGCTGGAAAAGTGAACTAGGGCTGCAGCTTGAAAAAAAGGTGTGAGGCTGAAGGACTGTGCAGCCAGGAAAGGCCACTGACTGATGGGTGTGATGGAAGTTCCAGCTGCCAGCGTAAATGTGGACATCTGGGAGAAGAGACAGAACAGAACCAGGAATCCAAGTCTGAGATTAGGGGAAGGACCTGGGAGAAAGCTTAATGGCAGCAACACGGGAAAGAGAGATGGAGTGATGGAGGTTTGGACGCAATATTGGGAGATACTCAGACACTTCAGCAAGAAAAACGGCCTGAGGGGTAATATACTCAGGAAAACGGAGGAAGACAATGTAACTGTAATGTCTTCTGCTGTGAAGGACCTTTCTTTTTCTGACATCTCTGGGTAGTAAGCAGCAAATTAGCAAATCCTCAAAATGGATTTGGAAAGTAACCGCACTATCTGGTCTGAGAGAAAAGTTTAAAACATAGGTTTTTTAAGGAAAAGAAAAATGTGCCAGAGGGCTGAGAGTTCTTAAGACCAAGTTATAAACCTTTGAAAATAGGATTTTATAATGGAAATGCAGAGATCATTAACTATTGTAAGCACCTCTAAGAATGACACCTCTATAGTAAATTACATTCAAATTAATATAAAACTGTAAAGATTCCCTGACAGCTTTGATTATGTAAGTTGATTTTAGTAGTTAAATGTTGACTTTCTATAATGCATTCTCCAAATATTATACTGAATGCTGCATCATATATAACAATTACCATGTCACAGTGCTATTTTGTGTAAATTAAATTATTGACAGCAATATAATTTTGTATTCACTTTATTATTTTGATCCATTTTTCTGTCAAAATATACAATGACTCTTCACTAGATTTAGAAACCAGAAAAACTCTTTAGATGGTGAAGTATTATTCTCCATACATTATTTTTCCTTAGCCTGTAATGAGTTTGGGGGAGAGAGGGGGAAGCAACATTTCATTCCTCCTCTGACATTATGTGTTGTTTTAGACACGTTGTCAACTTTAAATTGTGCTTCAGTAAGTGTGCTTATCAGAAAGCCTGCAAAGTCCATGGCATGCCTGGTCAGCTGTCCAGGCATGTGGCAGAGATGGTGTTTTTAGTGTGCTCCAGCACAAGTGCTGTCCTGAACCACAGGATAGGGTTTTTGATATGGTTATGATTATTCAGCATAGCTTTAAAGAGGGTCCGTTGTATATCACAGGGTCAATACTTCCTGTTCTTTGATATCTCTTATGGGTTGAAGTGAAAAACATCATCTGTGTGGCACAGCTCCTTCTTCACACCTTCTCTTCCCACTTGTGGGATATGGGAACAGTGATTCTCCATCCTTGGATGCCTGAAAAGTACTTTCAGGTTGTGGTTGTAACTGCAGATTAATACTTGTAAATGTATAACTTAAAGTTATCTCATTTACCCTTCTCCAGATGCACAGCCTGTCAGCTCCTTGTGGCCTGCTCGACACCGCAGTGCAGAAACTGGGACACAAGTTATGTCTTCCTACTGTATCTCGGCCTTCTCCAGGCAGGTACCTTGACCTCCAGTGTGGAGACGGTCCAGCTGGCTCAATTCATGTAAAGCCCAGTGAGAAAGACACAAGGAGGCCCCAGAATAACTCTGAAACATGTTTTTGGGTGCCATCCTACAAGGTGAAAGAAATGGGCTGAGCTGCTTTTAGGAAGAAAAGAGGGATGAATCCAGCACATCACACACCATGGGCAAGGACTCGAACTATGGGTATGAAAATTCCCTTCATTCTGAATGGTGGCAGAAAGGCCCAGAAAATGCTGATCTTCTCAGCTGGTCCAGTCCAGGGAGGTTGAGGAAAGCCGACTTTGTGGCTTTCCTAGCAAGGTTTAGTTCCAGCTTTGGTGCAGCCAAGCCTCAGTCACATCTGCATCTGCTCAGTAATAGAAAGCAAAGGCACACTGGCACTCCTGAGCCTGGGAAGCAGTTTCTGGTCCCTGGGCCAGTAAGTGCAGACTTGTTTGTGGACATACAGCTGTGGGCTAGTTACCTCTTCAGCAAACCGGCCCAGGTCTGTATCCTTAGTGCCCTGTGAGCGTTAAACTAAAGGTTTTTGCATAGTGAGAGTGGGACAGGGGATGAGAGGTAACTGGAGGGCACTCTGAGTTCACCATAGATTTAGCAGTGCTCTCTAAATATGTCAAAGTTCATTTGTCTGTTGTCCTGAGTTTGGGAACACATAAATAAAATATATGTGCTTTCTATGGCAGCACAAAACTCATCCGATACTAATGAAATGTGCTTAGCCATTGCACATGTGCTTAATTCAGTATGAAATGTTATTGTATTGTTATTATATTGTTATTGTTATATCGTCAGTTTTAAGGGACAGAAGCCCAGAGACACTTGGTAAGCCCTGATGGGAATTACTGGTAGTACTGAAATGTCACTTCTTAGCCTGGGTCATTCATTTTCCCCTTTGCTTAGACTCTGTTATTGATATACACTGCATGTTTAAAATCTGCATTGTGGTGGCAGTAGTAGCAGTGTGAACATGGAAAAGAATCTGCTTGAAGACTGATGTCTTTTTCTCTTACATGGTCTGATAGAAAAGCATTACAGCTCTATCTGCCTTGCCCTCCTAAGATATTGGTATTGGCTTTTATTCTCTTGGCAAGTTGAGCTTATTCACAATTGTTGCAGACACAGCTGTGGAAGCACCATGTCAGCATGACCATTTCTGTTAGCTGGTTTATAAAATGCCAGGAAGCCATTGACAGATGGAAGAATCACTTCCTTCTAGTTTCTTGTCAAACATTTAGTAGCCACTTGTAAGGAAAGCTCTTGTCCCTGCATCTTTCTGCATGTATTTTCATGTATCTTCCCCTGTAGGAAGCAGTTTCACACACAAACACGTTACAGCCGTACAGTTTTAATAGAACCAGCTTCACTTGAGAGTAGACAAATAGACTTGGGTCTTCTTCTGGCACAGGCACAAAGCATTAAGATGTGATGCTGAGTTTCTCATTTGGCCTCATTTCTCGTTTGATTTGCCAGTGTGGGAGTTAATGGTATAAACACAGAAATATGGGGCATAGGGAGCAATACGTTCTGTGCTGTCCTGTTCAGGTAGCTCTGTTTCTTGCTGGCTTTGATAATATGTTGCTTAGAGTAGTTTAAATGGCAGAGGGGGATGAGGAACAGGTGGTGATGAGAGAGAATTAATGTAAGAGGACATGGAGAAATCATATTGCTCCATAGCAAGTTGCTCCTCCCAGCATATTTCTGTGCTAGCCCAAATAAGTGGGACTCTGTAACAGTATCCTGTGACTACACCAGAAGATGCAATGGCGTTGAGTTCAGGTATTAAACAAATATATATCCTGGTTCATCCAATTTTGGGATCTGAAATTTTAAGTTGCAGTCATTCCCCTTGATGTATGAGTGCCCAGACACTGTGGTGATAAGCTAGGCCTTGTTAGCACCTCAGGTTACTAACCTGAGAGAGGAACTTGGCACAAAAGGAGGATTTAAAGCTAAAACAGAGCAAACAAGAACTGATAACTGGTAAAGTCATCCTGAGAGTTGGGAAAGATGAACCTGCTGGGCAGGTATTCTCTAATGATGTTGTTTTGACTTTACTAGCCTGCCTTCTCCTCAATGTATCTTATATTTGCTCAAAGAAAATCATACTGCTCTTCCCAGTTATTTCAAAGTAAAGTCACAAGAATAGCTTGTTCCCACTCTATTGCAAATATAGCTCTTGGCAGCAATTGCTGAGATAAGGGGGAACTACCAAGGAAGAGGAAAGACGGGAGGGGGAAGAGGGAAAAGAGAGCTGAAAAGGTTGGACAATAGAGAGATACATGAATGAGAGGGGAGGTGAAAGAACAAGGCCAATGCAGTGCAGCAGAGAAATATAAATCAAAGATAGAAACAAACTCCTGCAAAACAGGTGGCAGCAGCCCAAATACAGGATGAAAAGGACCATGCCCACCCCCAGGAGAAGCTGGAGTTTTAGCCTTGCAAATAACCAAACCGTAAATAAAATCACATCAAATTTGGACTTCCACTCAGATTGTAGGGGTTATAGCATCAGAAAACTTATGCTAACTTACACCACTTGAAGATCTGGCCCTAAAAATTTTAAAGCAAAACATCTTGCTTATTTTAATCTCTTGTGGCTTTTTTTTTTTTAAATTCTCTGCTCCAATAACATTTGCTGTCAGCTCCTGACAGAAAGCCATCCATTGGTTAACTTTGCTGAAAATGAACCTGAATACCCTTGTCCTCAGGAATTTACAGTCAGGATGGTGAGACTGGAGCATGTAGACATGCCCTCAGGAGCAAAAAATAAATGCTGATAAAAAAATAAGGAAAAGCCAGAACCAAACTCAGACTGACTTACCCAGAGCAAAGAGCTGAGGGGTTCCAAGGCTCAAGGCAGACTGGTTTAAGACCAAAGCACAGAGAAACGAGACATAAATGGAAACAGGTTTTGAGAAGTGGCACACAGACAGGGCAAAGGCAAATGAGTGCCTGGAAATCTAGGAATCCTGTGAGTGGCTCCAGCTTCCCTGGAGGGGTGGGAAGTTTCTGAGAAACACCCCACAGAGCTCTTCTGTACCTCTTCTCAGAAGATTGCTTGGAAAATGGTGCCAGAGTTTCCCTGCTGGTCTGCTGGAAAGAGGTGCCATACCTGACCTTATTCCTCAGCTGAGGATTAAAAGCTGTGCTCGGTTCTGAAGGCACCGTTTCCTACAAACTGAGTGTGTCCAGAAAGCCTTCTGGCAAGCTTTCTCTGCACTTGAATGCTAGGTAATGGGACCAACAGGAGAACTGAAAATGTGACTCTTGCTATACTTCTTTTATTTCAGCCCTTCAAGGAAGAAGGCCACTCGCATCATTAAGAGATGTGCTCAATTAATCTCTCTCTGGACTAAAGGCCCAGCCATGGGACAAGGCAGTATTTACAAAAAGCACAGGAGACACACTATACAAGGGTAAGTGAAACTAGTTTTGGAAGAAGGGACTGGAAACTAAAGCTTAGTAGGCAGACAATCACTATTCAGAAACAAAATCGTCGTTATGTTGAGAGTCTTGTCTCATGAATGATATGTGTATCCCAGTTATTTTCACAGTTATGAGAAGCAACTTTTTTTTCTTTTCTTTTTTTTCTTTGTTCCCCTGGCAAGCAGCATGCAGAGCTGATATTTTAGCCTTCCAGCAGGGATGCCCCTCTGCGGGTTGCTCCCAGCACCTCTCTGCAGTACGTGATCCCCGTCTTGATACCTTTGGGGCTGCAGAGTCACAGCCTGTGGCTGGGATCTCTGACTCCACAGGGCTATATTCTCTCTATAGGTAGCACAACTGTGATGAAAACCTTTAGGGGTGCTGTTACACGGTGAAACACTTCCAGGGATGGGGCAGCTGCAGCTTCTTCGGGCAACCGGTGCTGGGACCTCACCCCCTCACAATAAAGAATTTCATCTTAAAATCTAATCTAAACTTGTTCGCTTTCAGTTTAAAGCCCTAAAACATTTTTTTTTCCCTGATGCCATATTTCAAAGTATAATCTAAAGCAGAAAAGGTGTCACTTGGTCTGTTCAGCTGGAGGAGATTAAGGGGAGACCTTGTTGCAGTCTACAACTTCCTTGTGAGGGGAAGAGGAGAAGGGTTAAATGCTGATCTCTGTGGTGACCAGTGACAGGACCCGAGGGAATGGTCTGAAGTTGTGTCAGAGGAAGTTTAGGTTGGATATTAGAAAAAGGTTCATCCCCCAGAGGGTGGTTGGGCACTGGAACGGGCTCCCCAGGGCAGTGGTCACAGCACCAAGGTTGACAGAGTTCAAGAAGCATTTGGATGACACTCTGGGGCACATGGTGTGACTCCTGGGGATGGTCCTGTGCAGGGCTAAGGGTCGAACTCGATGATCCTTGTGAGTCCCTTCCGACGCAGCATATTCTGTGATTCCGTGAAACACCAGCAGCACTCAGCCCAACGCATCGCTTTTTGCTCAGCTGCCGAGTCCTCGCTGGCTCCCGGCAGCGCCTTCCCCCAGGAGAGGGCAGTGGAGCCCGCACACGCTCCCCGCTCCCCTCCCGCCGCCGGCTGGGAGCACCCGCTCCCTCGGGTGTTCCCTGGGGAACGATAGGGGTGAGTGGAAGTAGGACTACGGATTTAATATGTGTGCTAGAAACCATGTACGGGAACATCCAGGAAATGTTCTGCGTGTTTAATAACGAGAATAAGTTTTGAGCAAACGAGTTTGTTGTTGCTTTTATTTGACTGGAAGTTTGCTCTGCCACACACACTTGTCCACAGCTACACCAACTTAAACTAGTAGCTTGCTGATTCCACATGAGTTTGTTTAATTCCTATAGCCCGAATTAAAAAATGTTATTGACATTTAAATAGCTCTTCAGGATGCTGCTATGGCTCTCCTGAGCCAAATACTCACAATAAAGTCATTTACTTATTTCAAATTTACAGGCATTCATCCTAAGACAACAAGCTTGCTTGGCTGGAAACCACAGAGTGGTTTCAAGGCACTGTAATTAAGGGCAGACTGGGATGCCTTCTCCTCTGCTCCTTAACCATCCTATTTCCTCGGCATGCCAGCAGTCAGGCAGCTGTTTTCTGTACCTTCATGTTTACAGCAGGTTTCCCTGGCTGAATTCCAGGTTTTGGTGACTGGCCAGTACAGGCTGTGAGCCTGTATCAGTCCCGTGAGGGGCTGGCAGGGTAGACTGAAGGGAAGTGGCTTTTGCCTGCAACTTGGGAATCCAGGGGACGCCCTGCCGAAACAGAAGGTATTAGTAAACAAGCATTTCATCCTGTGAGGACATGACAAATCTTTCTACCCCCAATGAAAAGGGACAATTTTCGGAAACTCTGAAATCCAGCTTTGGAAAGAAGATCTCTTTTATATGAAATGTTAAGGAAGCACCAACCCCAACATGAATCTAGCCCAGACAGTTGTCCTTTGCTGTCGTCAGAGGACAGGGTCACTCATTTCCTATCTGAAAGCAACTCCCTGATTGCATCTGAGTTCCCACTCCTGAGGACACCTGCTGAGCTGGGGCCACTTTAACATTCCCAAAACCAGCAGGATGCACAGTGCATTTCCCAAGCAGGCCTACTAGCATCACTGCTGTTAGCACATGAGGTCAGTTGAGTTTTGCTGCAAAAGCATAGTGAACCCCTGGAGAGATGACTCAAATGTGTGATGTTACACTGGTGAAATGTGTTGCCAGCTCCACAGATGATGAGCTGCCTTTTCTTCCTCAGCCACTCTCAACTCATGGAGGCAAGGACAATTTTATTTCTACAGCTCCTGTCTCAGGTACTTGTGGTAGAGAATGACTGCAGGAAAGTAGAACCCCAGTGCATCAGATAGCAACTTGTTAAAAGAGCAAATGTAGTAAATCCAAAGGAGCCTGCTTTCAAAGAAATTGGGAATGGAAGTTCTGCCCTTCAGCTCTGAACCCTCCTCAGTCAGTGCTATATCCAGTCAGACGTGTCAGGCGCATTCGAGGCTCTTGGTGCGAGTGGGGATTTGGCAATTTGCACCAGCAATGTCTGTCATATGAAACCACGTGGTTTATAGGAACCACAGAAATCAGTATTTTTGCGTATAAGGCTCACTGACTGACGTCAGCACGAGTGGACAGTCCAATGCTCAGAGTCTGCTGTAAGCAGCCAAACGGGGATCAAAGGCACAAAGCACATGCAAAGCAATACAGCAAGAATATCTGAAAAGGGCCCAGAAACATTGGAGTCTCATCTGTCAACATCTGCCTGAAACTGAGCATTAACTACGTCTCCATCTTGCCCCACACGAGATCCTGCTGCCACTCAGACAAAGCTCCCATTGAGAGATGCTGAGTGATTTGATTGTTCCTGGAAAGGCTGGAAATCAGACATAATTTACTCCATGCTTAAGAAGGCTTTTAAAATTAACCAACAAACCCAACCATAGTAGTATTCCTCAGGTGAAGTTAGCCAGGAGGTACGGTGGATTTTATTTGCGTCGGTCTTTCATTAAATCCTTCTCCATAGTAGAAGAACATTAAATTAGCCAAGTTAGTTCAAAGGTGGAATTGATTTGTGGTGAGATTGAGGTGGGGTGTGGAACCTTGGTTCTTCTTTCTCCTGTGTGCATTATGAGTTAATGTCATCAGTGGGCATGTGCTATTTTGAAACAATACAGGAAAATTAGGTAGAATATCCATAAAACTGATACATCAGCAATGTTTTGCAGTAAGGAGGATACTGCACTGTTTCTCAAATTCATGTAAAGTAATTCGCCCCACTGCACAACAGATTCCAATATTTTGTTCTTTTATAGTAGCGATTAGACCAATTACAGCTCAGCTGTAATGGAAAGGTACAATACGATTGCTCCTGCTTCTCAGTCAAATTTCCCAGAACCTGTCTCTCTGTCACAATTTAACTTCTAAATTGAGATGAGTCTTTCAAACAAAAATATCTAGAATCCCACTGAAAGCTTTCTTTCAACTAAATCTCATATGTCAAACTGTATTGGCTATATATTAAGTGCTAGAAAGGAGTGATAATAAAAATCTATGTTAAAAAACACTGTTATATATTTACTAGTTACCGTGCACACTTCTCTGATCACCCACAAAGGCAAATACCTATGTTTACGCCTACTATTCCTTAGAAAGTACAACTAATGTCCCTAAAACTTTCACTTTTCCAGAGACGCTCCTGTCTAGCCTGGGCTCTGCAGTGCCTGCAGCATCATCAAAGGCAGTGAAACAGAACTGGAGGAACTGAAAGAGCCTTTCTCAGCTGGGGTGTGAGGTGTGTGGCACGGATAAAACGGGGCCTGGGAGACACTGTGACAGCACTTGGGACTGAAGGCAGAGGTAAGTGCACGTTCCTAGGGATGCCCGAGCCCTGGAATGCACTAGACCTGTAAATATTGGTATCTGCAGTTAAAAATGAAAGCAAAGAGGTTTTATCCTTCCTATGTATTCTCTGCTTGTTGCTTTGGAACAAGAGTGCACACTCTCATGGCATCTTTCATATGTTGCCACATCTTGCTGGTCTTTGGGTTGTTACGTGGATTATTTGGATAAAAATCCAAATGGGTTGGATTTTTACTGCAGACCATTGAAAAGGGGCCTCAAACGCTACAGACCATATGTGAGTTGCTTTCCTAAATGCAGGACTAAACAGCCACGAGATGAAATATCCCCAAGTAAATGAGATTAGTGACATGGGATACAGCTTTCAAAAATAATTACATCTGACACCCTCATCAGCAAGAAGATGTAGGGGCTGCAAGCTCTAAGCTTGGGAACAGCGTATGAAAGATTGGCTTCTCCTGGGAAAGGAAGGCACAAGGGAGGTTATTTTTAGTACTTTGGAGAAAAAAAAAAAAGAATTTAAGCACTCTTTGGTTTGATACCCTCGTTATGGAGGAGATCATGGAGAAAGAAAGCAGAAGTGGGAATGGAAATGTTACTGAGGATGAAAGCTGTGGAAGCAAAAGGTTGATCCGAGCAGGGTGGGAGCGGCGGGGACAAGATGGGACGGGGGCGTGGTGGGGGCAGCGGGGGGGGGCAGTGCAGCCCCCTCCGTCCCGTCCCCGGTTGCGCCCGTCGGTACAACAACAACCCACCGACGGCGGAGCGGGCGGTTCCGTTTTCGCGACGGTATATATAGATCAGACACTTTCCAAAAAAAGCAGCGCCGCCGAGTCGCTCTGCTCGGCGGCTCTTTCCACCCGTAATTCAGAAAACACAAAATATTTTTTTAATATTATTTTTTTCTTTAAGAAAGGAGAAGCTGTATTCCGTGAATGCGGCTGTTTTCTGACTCGACACCGGCTTGCGGTTACGGGCTGCTCAGAAAGTGAGCGGGGTCCGGCGGGGCGGCCCCGGGACCTCCTCTGCTTTTCCGAGCGTTTTTAAAATTTTCCGGAACGGGTTCCCTAAAAAGGGCAGGGGGGCGGGGCCGGATCCTCGCCTTTTTAGGACAAGGGCCCCGCCACCGGAATACCCCCCTGTGCGGCGCGGCGGGCGGCGGCGGGGGCCGCGCGGGGCCGGGGCGGGTCGGGGCCGCCCCCGCAGGGCGCGGGGGGTGTGCGGGGCGGGGGGGCCGGGGCAGGCGCGGGGCGGCGGGTCCCGCACGCCCGAGCCCACGTGACCGCCGGGCCCCGTTCCTCAGTCCTTATATGGGCAGTGACGTCCCGGGCATTCAGGGGGCCCCCATAAATAGTTACCGCCAGACTTGTGCTCCAGCGCGAGCTGCGGCGGGAGCGCGGCGCTCCCGGGGCACCGCGGCCACCGCACCGCCGCGACGGGGCGGCCGCCCGCCCGCACATGCCGCGCCGGCTCCCCGCCGTCCCCCCGCGCCGGTAGTGGGAGGCAGGGGGAAGCGCCCCCTCCTCGCCCTCCCCTTCCCGCCCCGAGCGCCCACCGCCGGCCGGGAGCGCCGCTCCCGCGGCCGCCCCGCTGCCCCCATGATGACCGCCAAGGCGGTGGACAAGATCCCGGTGACCCTCGGCGGATTCGTGCACCAGCTCCCCGAGGGCATTTACCCCGCGGATGACATTTCGGCCGCGCTGCCAACTTCGGTGGCGATCTTCCCCAATGCCGACCTGGCAGGGCCGTTTGACCAGATGAGCGGTGTGGTAGGAGGTAAGCGGAGCCCGCGCAGGTGCGGGACGGGCCGCCCGCGGAGGGCGGCGGGGACCCGGAGTGGCGGGCGGGGGGCGGACTGGGACGGGGTGCCAGGACCCTCTGCGGGGCTCCCCTGGCGGCCGGCTGGGGTCCCCCCCGCCCCTCGCGGCAGCTCTGCCTCCGCGCCCGGCTCTGGGGGAAAAGTTGCAGTCGGCGCGGAGCCCTCCGGCAGCCGGAGCGCAACATGTGCGCGCCGCAGCCCCGCGCGGGCGGCGGCCGGGACCGGTGCCGGGTGGCGGTGCGGAGGGCTGACCTGCTCCTTGCCCCCCCAGACGGCATGATCAACGTGGACATGGGCGACAAGCGGGCCCTGGACCTGCCCTACGGCGGCGGCTTCGCGCCCAACGCCCCGGCTTCCCGCAACCAGACCTTCACCTACATGGGCAAATTCTCCATCGACCCGCAGTACCCCGGCGCCGGTTGCTACCCCGAGGGCATCATCAACATCGTGAGCGCGGGGATCCTGCAGGGGGTCAGCACGCCCTCCTCCGCCACCTCCTCCGCCGCCTCCTCCGCCTCCTCCGCCGCCTCCTCGGCCACCGCCGCCTCCGCCGCCTCCCCCAACCCGCTGGCCGGGGCCCTCGGCTGCACCATGGCACAGGGCCAGCCGGCCGACCTGGAGCATCTCTACTCGCCGCCGCCTCCGCCCTACTCGGGCTGCGGTGACCTGTACCCGCAAGACCCCTCCTCGGCTTTCTTGCCCGCCGCCGGCGGCGGAGCGCTGCCTTTTCCCCCGCCGCCCTCCTACCCCTCCCCGAAGGCGGCGGCGGCCGACGGCGGGCTCTTCACCATGATCCCTGAGTACGGCGGCTTCTTCCCGCCGCCCCAGTGCCAGCGGGAGCTGCACCCTGGCCCCGACCGCAAACCCTTCCCCTGCCCCCTCGACTCGCTCCGCGTCCCGCCTCCCCTCACGCCGCTCTCCACCATCCGCAACTTCACCATGGGGGCGCCCCCGGCGGGCGCCGCCCCCGGCAGCGCTCCCGGCGGCGGCGGCGGGGGCGAGGGTGCGGGAGCCCGGCTGCCCGCCGGCGCCTACAGCCCGCACCACCTGCCGCTGCGGCCCATCCTGCGGCCCCGCAAGTACCCCAACCGGCCCAGCAAGACGCCGGTCCACGAGCGGCCCTACCCCTGCCCCGCCGAGGGCTGCGACCGCCGCTTCTCCCGCTCCGACGAGCTCACCCGGCACATCCGCATCCACACGGGCCACAAGCCCTTCCAGTGCCGCATCTGCATGCGGAACTTCAGCCGCAGCGACCACCTCACCACCCACATCCGCACGCACACCGGCGAGAAGCCCTTTGCCTGCGACTTCTGCGGCAGGAAGTTCGCCCGCTCCGACGAGAGGAAGCGGCACACCAAGATCCACCTGCGCCAGAAGGAGCGGAAAGGAGCGGCAGGCGGCGGCGGGTGCCCGCAGCCCGGCGGCGGGAGCGGCGCGAACCTGGCCCCCTGCGCGGCGCGGACGCGGACGCCCTGACGGCGCGGGGCGCGCAGGACCCAGCGCGGAGCCGCCGCCGAGCGCGGCGGGCGCGGAGCGGAGCGGAGCGGGGCCCGGCGGGGCGCGACGAGCACCTGGCGGCGCCGCGGGGCTCCCCCGGGCCGGGGCGGGCCAGAGCGGGCCGGGCCGGCGGGTGTACATAGGGGCTGCGGCGGGAGGATGGATGCATGCAGTGCCGTCGTGGTGAGGTGTCCTTGGTGCCTTGTGTGGTGTAGAGCCCGGTCCCCTGTCTGCATGTGGGGGGGGTGCCTTACCTATCCGCTCCGACGACAGCGGCGACACCGAGACCGGAAAGTTTTCCCCTCCCTGGTTTTAGTATGGCTGTACATTTCTGCCTATTAATATTGAGATTTTTTTTTTTTAGAGACTATATTTTTGTACGCACTGGTTTGGGGTTTTGTTTTTGTTTTTCTTTTTGGTGACTTAAAAGTGTTCCGTTTGTAGTAGGACTTGGGACAGGATGTAAATACTCGGGCTGGGACCGGCGCCCGTGGTCGGCCGGGACCCAGTGCGCCGCAGGTAACACGAATAATGCACAACCACTAACGGGGGCTGGTAGGAGAGGGGGGGGCTATCTTTCTGGCCACTCTGTAAATAAACTTTTCGACAATAGGGTAGGTGCTTACAACGTTTATAAAAGACGACAAATAAATCTCTTAATTATGCTAAATCGACATCTTTATTTCCTTAGGTTGTTTGGCCCGACCCAGGGGCGGGGGTGTCCCCTCCTCGTCCCTGGGCCCCGGGGGGTCCCGGCGGCGGGGGGCTGCGGGGCAGCCCGGCCCGGGTCCGCTGGGAGCCCCGCACCGCCTCGGCGCGGAAAACCAGCGGCCCCGGCGCCGGCGTACAAACACTCGCTCTCGGGCGCGGGGATTTCCCTCGGAGACGAGAGACGGGATAATATTAACCAGGGAGCGGGGTGGGTTTTTTTTGACTCACTCTCTTGTTTTGTTCCGCGGTTACGATCCGCCCCAGGCAGCCTCCGCGAGTGGGCTCCGGAACAGCGAGTACCGCCGCCCCGACGGCCGCGCTCGGGGGAAGCGGCTCCCGGCGGCGCGGGGGCTGTGCGGGCGGTGCCGCGCCCGCGCCCGGGGGCTCCGCAGCGGCCCGGGGCGGCAGCGCTCACCCCCGCGGCACAGCCGGACTGCTTCTGCCGAACCCATCTGGCCAAAACATAGCGCTTCTATTTTTGGTTTGGTTTTTTTTTTTTTAACCTGTTTTGATTATTGTTTTTTAAGATGTTATCCCAGCCTCGGCCCACCCTCGGGTCCTGCCGTCGGTGCAGGGCCGTGCCGGCCCCAATGGGCTTGCCCTCTGCCGCAGGGATCCCCGATGTGGCCGCACTGCAGAAGTGAGCTGAGCAGGATGGACCTCGGCACTAATGCCACAGCCCAGCACCTCAGGGCGCGGGGGCAAAGCCGCTGCCTGGCGGCTCCCAGTGGCTGCTTCCCCAGTGCCGGGTCCTGCTGTGCAAAGCCCAGTGGCACCTGCTTTTTCTGTCTGAAATGTCCTGTTCCCCATATTCTGGAACTGGTGCTGGCTTTTGGGGCAGCTGCTCTTTGTTTGAGAGAGGCAGTCAACAGGAGCTGAAGCGACATGCCTGATTCTGAATCAGATGGGAAGCAGACTTCCAAAGTTGGTCATGGACCAGCCTGTGCGGGATGGAGAAGCCACAGAACAACGCCAGCTCCAGAGCTGCCACACTCACTGCCCCCCCATCTACCTCAGCAGCTCAAGTAAGCTTTTGCCTCCCGTGTTGCAGCTTCACCACCTGATCCCATGCGCTCCTGGCCCCCAAGAGACCACGGCCTGCTGCTGGAGGGATGTCACATGGGAGCTGCAGCCTCCTCGGTCAGCACCGCTGGCCTGCAGGACAGGGATCCAGTGCTCTCAGCCTGCTGGGCTTCTGGATGTACCACCACAGCCTCGGATAACCACAGCTCGGTCGTAGCCAGAGCATCACGAACAAATTTGGTATCTCAGCTACCCAGACGCACAGTCCAAGGCTCCACTTGCACACTCCCAACTACTGTCTGAAGCCACGCTACAAAATCAAAACCCCAGTCAAAAGCAAAAAATGAGGTAAACACCACAGAAATTGTAAAAATTAAGAAACTGCTGAATTAAGAAACTGCTGGTGACCAGTGTACAGCCACAGGAACACCTCATATTGCGTAGCAGTAGCAGCGGTCCTACACCTCTGCCTTTGCCTTACAGCGAGAGCCAGCTTCAAAAGCAGCAATAGTGCATGTGCCTGGATTTGCCTGCAAGGCACTGGTGCAGGATTTGGGCTGAGAACCCAGTGCTACATCTCACCTCCCAAAGAAAGGCCGGTTGCACTGTTTGGATTGTGAGGCAAAAGAAACTAGTGCTCTGTACTGTACTTGGTTCAAGGCTGTCGTACTTGTGAAGCAAAGTAATGACTGCTCAGTGGTGAGATATCCTGTATTTATTCTATAATTCAGCAATAACAGTAATTTTGCTGTTGTGAAAACACAATAACCAGACTGCAGAGAGAAGGAACGGCATTACAGACTTAAACCTTCTGCTTACAGATATCCAGAACATATGAAGTAAGTTTCAATTACTGAGTAAGCAAGAAGTTACATAGAGGCGCTTTTTCTTAATGCATTTGAGGTTTTCTTTGCTATTTTTCCCAGCTTTTAATACTTTGATGCTAACACCTTAATAGAAAAAACAAAAAGAAATAGTTTTCCCAGGGTTGCTAACAGCACTCCGCAGCGGAAGGGACCATGCTGTCCTCTTTGGAAAGATGCATTAAAAGTCCTGTCCCATTAAACATCTTGACTACGTTTTACACATGGAGGGAAAAAAATTAAAAACCAAGCAGAAAGACCTAAGGGGGGGATAGCGCAGACGAGATAAAAAATGCTCTCTGCCCCAGTTTGTTTTTCCAGTACAGCTGTTGGCCCGCACCCTGCTATCTTCTTTGTGGACTTCTGAAAACGGATGATGGTCTTTATTAGCATCAGAGAGAGGTAGAAACAGGCTGTAACACAGGGAGGCATTGCCTTATAGTTAATGACTACATTCGATTGAGAATCATTAAACATTAACTACTGCTAAGCTGCAGGGGAATTCCAAGAAAAACAGGTAAGCCAGCTGCAGAAATATCAGACACTTAAAAAGTGCTCCAAAAATAAATGGAAATCACCTGAAATAATTTCTACCAATTTTTCCTTGCAAAAGAATTATTCCATGCATGCATAATGCTGATGGTATTTTACATTCATTCTTTTGCAGGCCAAATAAAAACCAACAAAAGACAAAAAAAGCAGCAATGCCGTATCAGAATCATTTAAAAATTCACATACAAGCCACTGTACAGGAAAAACAAGTCTGCTTTTATAAATACACAGAAAAATTAAAGCCAGTTGTGGAATGATTTCTGGAGCAGGTTGGTACGTCACTTCGGAGGTTGGTAATCGTGTTTTCTTACTCAAATTGCCACATCATGAGTAATATGGCCAAGGCTGCCCTGGCCGAGGTTTGTGGTACCAAGTGTGCGTTATGATGAACAGGCACGAGACCAGTCCCTGCAGTACAGACGGAGTATTTCACTCATAGAAAACGTTTCTCCCATGTTAGAAAGATTGCATTCCTTGCCATGGACAAACTGCATCTCCAGACCACTTCCATCATAGCGAGGTGAAATTCCTGGTGTCTCTTCTACTCTACGTTTATTTAAAAGCTTTATGAAAAAGTAGTCTTTATAAATAGTATAAAGACGGAAACTGCAAGGCTTCAAAAGCCCGAAGCGTTCTCTTGTCCATATAAAAACAAAGACCACGCTTTAAAGAGAAGACATCAGGTCCAATGTTATCAGTACCTAGGGTATGTGCTGCTGTACGTGTAGGGTTTGCAAATACACTGTGTTTCTAGAGTGGCTTCCACAACAGTGGAGAGTTGTTTTTTCTCTTATGATGCCCACAGTTTCTGCAACCTTCCGCTGCGTGAGAGGTTCCAAGCGAGGTTAATTAGCAGCTGACAGTCTCCTTCTCCTTGCTGAAGGAAATATGCATAGATGCACTCAGTAATTCTCAGTTGAAATAGTGAGATCTTGTACACAACGCTTTAAATAACTGCTGAAAAGTAACTCTGATTTTGACAGCATCCCTTCAGAGCGGGAATTCCCTCAACTCCAGCCCTGGGGATCACTGGCGTTTACTGGAGCAGCATGTCCTGGCTCAGGAGTTGTTCTGGGTTGTTTTTTTGCTACCAGGGTACAGCTCTTGTTTAGAATCGCTCTGGAGACCGAGTCCCCAAAGGCTGCAGCTGGACCAGCCCCTTGCCCAAGCTGGGTGGGCCAGCTGGCTCTGGCGGTGGGAGCCCCTTCGGGGGAAGCCGGCAATTTTTATTGCGTTGACTCTCCCTTCAGAGCCTTAATTCCCTCCCTAACGTTCGGCCCTAACTATTTACATAGGATGCCGGATTATTCCCCCGACCCTTCAGCTGAGCAGAAGTTTAACCGCGCTGCTCTCCCACATCGGCCCAAAGGACGTAAGCACGTTCTGGCGCTTTATTTCCCCCGACTTATGCAGCCCGCGGTCAGCGGAAGGCTGTGACCCGCGCAGCTCCGGCCGGCGCGGAGCTCCGTGTGCCCGCGGTGCCGCTGTGCGGGGCCTGGGACGCGGCCGGGCGGGGGAGGCCGGGCGGGCTCCGCTCCCCTCCCCTCCTCTCCCGGCGGGGCGAGCGCATCGTCCCAGCGGCCGCCGCCCGGCCCGGGCCGCCGCCGGCGGCGGCTCAGAGGTAGACGCGGGGCCCGGGGTAGGGCTCGCCCCCGCACCAGAAGTCGGCGGCCTGCGGGGTCTCCACCAGCCACACCTCCCGCGGCAGCGCGGGCGGCTCGGCGCCCGCCGGCGGCCCCTCCAGCAGCCGGTAGTAGTGGCAGTCCCGGCCGTGCTGGGGGTCGTAGGGCGGCGCCAGGATGTCGAGGAAGGCGGCGGGCCCGTCCACGGCGTCGATCTGGTGGAGGTTGTCGGTGTGCGGCGAGAGCAGGCAGGGCGGCGAGGCGGGCGTGTAGTGCTGGCGGGAGCGGAACAGGGCGCGCAGGCAGGGCCCGGAGCCGGCGGCGGGGGGCGGCGGGGCGGCGGCGGCGCCGGCGGGCAGCGTGTCCATGCAGGCGATGCGCAGCGTGCCGTACAGAACCTTCAGCATGCCGTTCATGCCCGGGTGGTCGTGCAGCGGGATGCAGGCGCCGCTCCGCAGCAGGAACACGCCCATGCTGAAGTTCTCCGTCTCGCAGATGTGCATGTAGCTGACGGGCGGCACCACGCCGGCCCAAGGCGGACCCCCGCCCGCCGCCGCCGCCGCGGCCGACGGCCCCCGCGGCGCCAGGTGCAAGTCCTCGGCGCGCACCTCGTCCAGCAACTGCTGCAGGCGGTGCAGGTTCTCGCCGAAGGCCGGGCCCGCCGGGCTGCGGAAGGTGAGGCCCGCCTGCCGCGCCACCCGCTGGATCAGGGAGGCCATGTTGTCCCGGGGCATGGCGGCGGCGCCTCGGCCCGGCCCGGCCGCGGCGGGCGGGGCCCGGCAACGCTTCCGCCCCCGCCCCCGGGCGGCCGCGCAGCCGCGGCGCCGCCGGGCACCACGGGCAGCGTAGTCCGGGCCGGGGGAGGAGGAACGAGCGCCAGGAGGAGGAGGAGGAGGAGGTGGTGAGGGGCGTGAGGTGGCCGCGGTTCAGCGCCGCGGGGTGAGGGGAAGGGAGAGGGGAAGGGAGACGGGAAGGGAGACGGGAAGAGAGAGGGGAAGGGAGACGGGAAGAGAGAGGGGAAGAGAGAGGGGAGGAGAGGGAGGAAGGGAGAGGAGAGGAAGCGGTGGGAGCGGCCGCTCCCCCGGAGCCGGAGGAGTCTGCTCGGGCAGGGCCACGGCCAGTGCGGGGGCTGTGCTGTGTCCAGGGAAGCCGCGGTGATAAGTTCCCCCCCCGGTGCCGCCTGTTTCCTCCCGCACCGCCGTGGGAAGGGCGAGAAGGCTCAGGAGCAACTTGTTGCTTGACTGGTAGTTAAGCGGTGTGAAACCGAGCAGAGTAGCGCGAGTGCGGTGCCACGGATGTGCAGCGACTGCACGAACAACTTATTTTTTTATCGCTGACTGCTTGGTACGGCTAAGCCGTTTGGGCAGACTTATCAGATCTCAGCTCTCGGGCACTGCCTCTCCGGTTGCGGTGTTGGGTCGAGGTCGGGCTGCGCGGCAGGCGCTGTCCCGCACGTATCCCCTCGCGGTCACCTGTGAGTGTGATTGTGCCTGAATTCGTTGTCTTTAACCGCAGATGAACCGACGAGCACATGGAGTTCCAGATACTGATCATCAGAGAATCCACGTGTGGCAAAAAGGATGGATAATCTTCTGGCTTGGCTCCTGGTGGAGCCTGCATGTGGTTGTTTCAGGCTAATGTAAAAAAAGGGTACAGCATTTATTCTGCCAGGGCATTACATGTAATGTTTTATTTAATTGATATATCTGTGGTAACAGTCCTATTACCTTCTTTCTAATTGGCGTCACTGTGCGTAGCAGATCATGCCAAGAAAATCCTTGTTTTTTAAGTCAGAAATTAAACTGTTAGTGCTGAGATTTGGTAAACAAAGTTAGGCTCTGGTCACAGAAATTTGCAGGCTCTATGTACACCTTGAGTTACATGCTGCAGAACCCACTCAAGTAATTTAAGTACCATGGTAGGTGTAGGCCTAGCTGGTTAGGATTCTGAAAAACAGCTGAATGATAATACTTAATCAAATACGACTGCAGGGGCTGCAGCCTGCCAAGTTAAAAGATTTCATTTTAAAACAAGGTAAACCATTGTGTCTCCTTGATTAAAGGCATTAAAGTTTAGTAAGAGGTATGTGGCCTTATAGTGTTCTTACACATTGGTTTGCATTGGAAGGGACCTCAAAGATCATCTAATCCTTGGAAATACCCCTGTGGGCAGGGATGCCACCCGCTAGATCAGGTTGCTCAGGACATTGTCTAACCTGGCCTTAAACATTGTCAGGGATGGGGCATCCACAACTTCTCTGGGCAACCTGTTCCAGTGTCTCACCACCCTCATGGGAACCATAAACACTGTACATGAGTCATAAATACAAGTGCTGTGGGCCTGGGATGGCCCAGCAGAGGATGAAATACTGATACTGTAAACAAAGTTTGGTGTCTTGGATTTATCTTCCCAATCCTATTTCCCACCCTCCCTAGATAAGTTTGGTGCACAGGATGCAAATTCAAGTCATGGCATCATTGCTTCCTCTCCACGGAGAAGGATGTTCAAGTTTCACCTGAAGCTACAAATCATTGCAGTCTTCAGCTGTTTCATGTTCACACTGATAAGTCTGTCCTGTGCCAGTGTTGGGAACACAGGTGAAGATGCTTAGGATGAGGGAGCATCATCCCGAGTGGAGAGGAGGGGTCTTTAATGGCCTGTGAACCTGTCTGTATTGGAGTGAACTGCCAAGGACTCCGACAGTCTCAAATGCTGCTGCATTGGGTGGCAACTGGCAGATTTGGAAGGCTCCATGTGAGCTTTTCTATTCAGTCCCCTTCCACAGGGACAATTTAACTGTGGAGGTGTGGACTGGAATTTTTGGCAGTTACCATTATCAGTGATAATGATAAATTCTCTGTTGGCTCTCCATTTGTGTCCTGCCTCAGCAATTGCACTTAGCTTGCAGGTGAGTGCTAGAATGCTCACTTTTGAACACACTGGGTTTTTTTCTATGCAGCACAAAAATAGACCATTTTGTGGAAACGAATGCTTGGTATTTGTAGGACATTGTGCGCTTGGAGTAACATGCAATTGTAGGAAAGATCAACACGGAAAAGCAGAATCCTGAGGCTGAGCTCAACCCGATCTTGACTTGCAGAGTGGTATTAGGTGAGTTACTTGACCCTTTCAGTGCTTATCACTCTGTAAACCATGAATCACATGTCTTGTGTACAAGGACATTTATTAAGATTTTAAGAACATCTTTATGTGGATGATTCTGGTGCCATGTTAAACTGATAATGAAGTTTATATTTTTAATAATTGATCACCTTATGATCTCCAGTGTTTTTAACTACTCTATTGATTGCCATTTCTAACAGATACAGACAAAAATAAGTCCTTGGCACTTAACGTTCCAGTTAAATGCTATATCACACCCACATCTTTTCAGTGCAGTAATATTCAAATAAACCCACAAACCAACCTCAACAGAAAAGCAAGCTGTCCAACCAACTGACAATTAAATTGACATGTTTTTTTCTTCTGAAAGGCCATATTCTTAGGTGGCCTCTACCATCTTGAGCACATGTGAAAAAAAAAATCACAGTGTAGTTGGCTGGGCTTCAAGGCTGCGTTGTGTCGGTGACGCAATGACCAAAGTTCAGCCCAGAGGTTTTGTGTGAGAGGGAGGTCAGGTTCAGGTTACGGTTTTGGTCTCCTGCTGTGTTTGTTTTTTTCCTCCACACACGGAAAGAGGACGTGGTGAGAGGTGCCACAGCCATTTTCTCCTGCCCAACCCCTCTATTTCCAGCCTCCTCCCCTTTCTACTGTGGATAGCTTCTTGCTTCTTTATTGCTGTTAGGTGTTACAGCTCCCCCCAAGTTTGTGAAATATCCCTTGCTCATTTTCACTCTCTTCCAGGGTTTCCTTCTCATATCCTCTTATTTCATTTTGAGGTATTAGAATTCCCTGTAACCATCAGATAAAACAACAGTGTGTAGTGGACAGAAATGACAGCCACTCATGTAGAAGGTCAGTTGTTGGCTGCTGTTAAATCTTGTGTCACAATGCCAGAATATTTTATAAGGTGTAGAGCCTGGACAGCCAGTACAGAAACCATCCTCTGTTATAATGTTGCCAACAGCTGCAGATGTGTGTTTACATAGGACAAAACCCAAGAATCTTTGTCAAAGAACATCTTTTTTGCACTGTTCCTGCCACTTGCTCTGCAAGGGTGTATATTTTAATTTTTTTTTTAGCTACCATCAGTCAAGGAGCTGGATATGAACACTAGCCAAACGTGACTCAGATGAGAACAGGACTGAAAACAGAGAAGACAAACAACATGTCTATACTATTTGCTGGCTCTCCAGTAATGTCTTACGTAAAAGATAAGTTTATCAATTATTCATCAGAGACTTTATATATCAGTAGAAACACAGGGGAGTGCTAGATATAACTGTACCGAAATCAGAAAGGGAATTGGGTTCATATATGCACCAAACATCAAGCAAGTCTATGTAACATTAAGACTCCCACCCACCTTTACCACTTCTTTACTGACACACATCCTGTATTCCATTAACTGCTGGAGCAAGTCCAGAGGAGGCCACTAGGATTATTAGAGGAATGGAGCACCTCTACTGTGGGGAAAGGCTGAGAGAATTGGGTTTGTTCAGCCTGGAAAAGGGTTGGTTTAGGGATGACCTTATTGTGGCCTTCCTGTACCTGAATGGAGGCTACAATAGAGATGGAGAAGGACTTTTTACAAGAGTATTTAGTGACAGGACAGGGAGGAATGGATTCAAACTGAAAGAGAGTAGATTTAGGGTAGATACATTCAAAAGAATCTTTACTGTGAGGGTGGTGAGGTCCTGGCACAGGTTGCTCCAGGAAGCTGTGGCTGCCTTGTCCTTGGCAGTGCTCAAGGCCAGGCTGGATGGGGCTTTCAACAACCTGGTCTAGTGAAACATGCCTCTGTCCATGGCAGGGGGGTTGGAATGAGATGTAGATGAACTTTAAAGAAGTCACTTCCAGCCCAGGTCATTCTGTGATTCTGTGAACCACTTAATTCACCCCTTGCTGCACTCTTCATTTGTTGTAGCTCCTCAGTTAAATCCACTATTTCTATATAGAGCACATCATTAATGAGTTTTATTGACAGTTTGCTACTGAACAGCCTAGAGCAGGAGTTGGAGTGACTCAGAGTAGGAAAGGCTGTGCAGCATGCAACTTGCTCTGCATGAATTTGCAGAGATAATGAGCCTCATTCTGATCATCTGAGTTCAGCTCCACTGATTTCATGATGTCCACTGGTGCAAATAAGATCTGTGCTGCTCTCCCCGACACCACCCAGGTCAGACTGTAGTGATGGGTGCTGTGAGTTATCCCCAGCTTTACTCCTTCTGAACTCGCTGACTGTCTGGGGCTGATCCTGGATGAGAGGAAGGAGGCATTTACCAGCATGGTAAATGAACCATAAGGCCCCTCCACCCTCTGTTACATCAGTGCTGAACTCCATTTGGGTTTGTTACTTTTTTAGAGAATCCCGAGGGTCCCATTTGGCTGTTCAGTGGGAGAGTGGAGGGTGGGTGACAGCTTGTGAGGTCACCTCTGCTGGCAAGCAGCTCCCATGGCCTCCAGCCCTCCCCTCAGCAGCTGGCTTTCCAATGGCAAGGAAAGGTTTTGTTGAGACGACCCAGGGGAAAGGCCTGTATAGTGTCCGAAGGCTCTACAGAGTCCTCGTGCTGGGCAGTGACAGGAAAGCTGCTCCCCTGCAGGGAAAGCCCTGTGTTTCTGTGCTTGTCTGCTCTCCCATTATCACTGACCTCAGTGCCATGTTTACCTTTGCCTGCTGTGTGATAGGTGTGGGATATAAGCACATTTGTCCAGGGTAGGGTGTGATTCTGCTCCCTTGGAGCCTGAGGGTTGGCTGTAGGTAACAGGAGATCACCCACTAACTCTGGGTTCCCAGAGGGTGTGAGCTGTGGCTCTGCCACTGCTTGTGCTGTGCCAAGTACTGATCACACACCAGCTCTGGGACAATCTTACTAGCGAGGTACAAAGCAATCCTATTTCAGTGGCTTAAAGAGGTACTGCTGTGCCACTGAGTCACCATAACCTGCTTGCTACTCACTCATAGCCTTCCCTCACTGCCAAAAACACTTCAGCACAGACAATCCTCAAGCTAAGCCTTACTTTTTCACAGTCAGGAGTGAGGGCTGGGTATGGTTGTCACATAGGTGATAAGCAGTAACACGTGAAGCCATAATAACTTGGTTACCTTTGGTTGTACACGCAACACAGTATTTAAGGAATCTCTTTTTCAGCAAGAGAGAACTATTTAATTTCTTAATGATTTGGGATCAAATTTGTCCCAGTGGGGATCTATACAGGGCTAATCAATAATGCCAAGTTTAAGAAGGAACGAATAGCCAGGGAAAATTTTTCTGGTTTAAATAAATAATTTTATTTTTTTTTTAAGGAAAGACTTAGTGTTCAGCAGGTGAATGGTAAAATTTAGTGGGTAAGGTATTTAGTGGCATGGGGAAATTTCTTTCAGTGTTTTCAGATGTTTGTAATATTTAGGTTAATTGGTAAATCCAATACCATACTACTTTGTCCCATAGATCCATATTAAACAAGGCAAGGAGCGAACAGGGAAGTTTAATTCCATGACACACAGCTGCAGATGCACAACTATTAAAGGGGACATACAAAGGCCTTTGGAAAATCAGTATTGTGTGTAGGCTGGGTTTTGAAGTGTGGTTTGAAATGATGATAGAAAAATTTTAGTTTCTTTAAAAGTGAAGAAAGTAATTTTAGTGGTGTGTTTGAGGACAAAGTGACAAATCACAAGTTTGTCACTGACAAATCCTTGCCAAAACCTAAGACGTGACCTTGGCTGGTTGTGCTCCAGTGCTCAGAGTATTTACCTGACCACATGTTCTTTTTAGGTTAGAATTGTATTCTTGTCAGTAACATATCACTTCTGCATGGGTATAACTTCAGATCATTGAGGAAAAAACCCCGAATTACGAAGGTATGATGTTAAATTAGTTCACATACTAAATATCTAGATTTTACTTTTGCATTTCACAGCATGGTAACAGAAGTGTGGCAAATTTTTCTTGGAAAATTAGAATGAATTCCAGAAGAAACTGAGGCAGACACTCTACTTTTTCCTAAAGCTATCTTCCACTATTCCCCATAGCTAAGTATTTAAAGCTTGCAGGATCAAGGCCTAACAAGCCACACATCCTTCTTACTGTTGGGGGTGGTTTTTTTATCTCTAGGAAAACAAAATTCTCCATGTCTCTGTGTTAAAATGATTGGAAATTGAACTTAGGGGGATCTAGCATGTGATTACTTTTTTTAGACAGGATTTTCTTCATAACTGAATTGGACTGAGTCTTTTTTTTTCTCACAAACCAGATGGTAAGTGATTCAGTACTTTTAGCAGTAGAAGTACTGTTTTCTCTCCTCAGTAGTTGATGTGAATGTACTTTTCTTTATCTATTTACATATTATGTAAACACACTTTACCTGCATTTCTGTACATAGGTTACAGTCCTGATCCTGCAAAGAGCCCTGTATAGGCAAGGCCCTGCACACAGGAGTTGACATTGCTCACAGAGATTGCATGGAACTTGTGGCAGGGTTCTAACTGTATTTGTATTTTTAGGTAGGTGCTTACATTTAGGATGCTGTATGAGTATGTCAGCACAACTGTAACTCCACAAAACAATTGAGAAACTTTGCACACTTTACTTATTTTCACCTGGTAGCATCTCTGGGGTGCCCTTAATCTTTTCTGCTGTCTTCCTGCAGTAGGCTGTAGCCCTTGTGACAAAATTTTGAGTTACAGCTGAAAGCTTTATCCTTTAATTGTACAGTATTGGGGTAAGTTCTTCCTGGTGTGCAGGGGGAGCAAGGGCCTCATTCATGTAACCTTTTGGACTTGTACTGATGCTACTCCCTTCCTTCAGTGACAACTATCTGTGAGAATATTGAAAAAGCTGCCTTTCACGTGTGAAATCACCTGATTTCTTAAGGTTGTCTGCATCTATGTGTATATGCAATATTAAATCTGAATGCTAAATGCAGGCTGTTCCTTGTTTTGTGCCAAATAAAACATACACTCAACCCATACATAGGCTGTGTCTGCA